CCTTCTTCTTCGTCCCACGTCCCTTCTTGCTTGCGGGAACCGATGGCATGACCGGGGAGGTGCAGGAACTGAGGCACAGCCAGCCGAAGGGGCTTCCACTGAACGGAGAGACGTCGTGGTCGGGGGGAAAGGCGCAAGGGCTTGGAGGTGCCAGCGGGCCTGGTGGAATCTCCAGGCACAAACTCGGCCGTTGATTTAGGGTGTCGCGGCGGGCCATGCCACTACGGGTTATCAAGCCGTACCCCCGGCCTGCATTTCTACCTGTGCGCTGCGGCCCGAGGCTTGCCTCTGGGCAAGGGTTACCGGCCTGCAATGGGCCGTTGAGCGTTGCGGTTTGCATCGTCACGCTGTCTGGCGGAAATTGGAGGCTCGTCTCAGCGTACAGTCCCTATTTCGCTCACAGGCTCATTTGCTACCTCACAATACGATCCTTTGATGCCGACTCGGACGCAGCGCCAAGGCGGGCGTCCTCCCAAACAAGGATGGCGGACCAGAGCTCTCGCAAGCCTCTGTTCACCGAACGACGCTGCAATCATCATGCACACATTGCGCTACATATTCAATATTTCCCTCGTCCTCCTTCTGCCGGCGGTTGCCAGTTCTTTGCTGTTTCACCTCTCAAAGACGCCAGGTGTCACGATCGGCCCCGACTCCGTCCCAGCTGCGTCGCAAACCTCGATACGCCATAGTGCTTACCAGCTAGAACGACCCAGTGACGGATCCACTGGACTTCGCGCGGGGCTGTCAGAGGTTGAATGGGCATTACACTGGGTTTCCGTATATGCCTATTTCTTATATGGGCGGCAGCATTAGGTGAGTAACGAGGACAAAACTTCATAGGCGGTGTCCACTTGTGTTATAACCCGTTCCGAGCTTAACTGACAACCGATCCTCAACAGCCGCTCTCTTTCAAGCCGATTGGCTCCCTATCACGAGGATTCTCCTCAGTTGTATGGTCAGGACACGCCGGCGTCGAGGGCACTTCACCCATGTTCGGCTGGATCATCGAAGGCGAATCACCGCAACGTCAACGTACACAATATTTGTTCGCCCCTGTGCCGGGCGAAGTATTCCAATCGGTCAGTGTTCATTTTCTGATTACTCATTCATTGTATATCCACTGACTCGTGTCTTACCAGTTGTATCCGACGGCACCACAATCGCGGGTCTCAGGCACTTGCTTGTCGCGAAAGGTGTTCCATCTTCGCTCGCTCGATCAGTTCGTCTGGGACTCGCGCACAACTCTTTTCACCTTTTGGAAGACACTCAATGCCTCGGTGACATTGGAGCGGGGCCTCTCGCCCATCTGTGCATGAATGTGGGCCTCCCCGGTACGTTTCCACATCCTGGATCACGCTCAACGAATTCGTGACCCTGACAATGCTATTTGGCAGGTGGTTCGCCCAACAGCGCGACGGCAAGCGCTTCGCATCAGTGCCTTGGCTGCGGTGCGTCCGGATTTGACATTGACGCGCTGTCAGACATGTGGTTCGGTCGGGAGATCCTCGATGCCAGAGCAGCGTCATGCAGGCGATGGAACGCGCGCGTGTGTGCGCGCGCACTCGCCTCGAGGAGAATCGCATGCCCACCGAACCTGTCGCCGGTCCTTCGAGCCATCCCTCGAACGCCAGCCGGCCAGTGGGAGTGCACAAGCCAATTGGATCCCGTGCTCGCGGCAGGCATGCGAACCAGCGTGTGACTGAAGGTGAGCATCAGCATTGCTGTGATGTCGCGCAGCCACAAACACGTACCTGGACCAGATCTCGACGGTCCCCTCGAATACCTAGACCAGACGACGATGGTCAGCTCGAGTACCTCGATCAAGATGCACTGGGCGAGCCCCTACTGGACGATGCAGTCGACGGCTTGCCTTCAGACTCGTCATCCGATGACGAAGACGAGCGACACTACGAGGACATGCCTCCGAGGCTCTTCAACCGCAGCCCGTCTCCTCAGGCCATGCGAATGCAATCGCCCTCTGCAGCGTCTGATCGGCCACTTGGACCTGCTGAGCATGCCCTCGAAGAGGATCAAGGCCGACACGACGGACATCACGACGATATGGACGTGGATCGCAACCTGCCGGGCAATCAGCCACGTGAAGAGGAGTTTCTCTTCCATGATCCATTTGTAGTGCCGTTCGCCAGGGCCCCAGTCGGCGAGACCAATGCCGCGGCGGGCAAGAACCCATTTGCTACCTATGAAGCGGCGTTGGGGACACCCCTGACGCGAACATCTTCGCCCCCTTCGCCTCGCGGATGGACTGGCGCATCGCACAATGGGCGAAGACGCGAGGTCCGTCGGCAAGTGCATTCAATGAACTGCTGGCAATTGACGGGGTATGGCAGCTCGCTCTTCCATGTACCTCCGTGGCTCACGCAACCCTGTCCTCGGCTGATTACACAGGTGCTTGATGGCCTAGACATCTCGTTCAAGAACACCAAAGAACTCAACAAGATCATTGACGACTCGCTCCCTCCTCGCCCGAGTTTCGTTCGTCACGTCGTCGAGGTGGATGGCGAAAATATGACTTTTGGCTGCGCGATGCCATGGAGTGCATACGCGTGCTCTTCGGTTCATCCGATTGGGCCACCAGCATCATCCTCGCCCCCGAGAAACACTACATTGATCGGACAAAGACGACGCGAGTTTATGGCGACATGAACACTGGCGATTGGTGGTGGCGCCTGCAGGTATGCTTGTGTCTGCTGGTTGCTCGCAACACACCAGTCTTAACTCAATCATTGCAGCACAAACTAGAAAGAAGCAAGCCGGTGCGACGATCATACCCCTCATCGTTTCCTCGGATAAGACACAGTTGACGCAGTTTCGCAACCGGTCGTGTTACCCGCTATATCTCACCATTGGTAATATCCCGAAGGAGATTCGTCGCAAATCCAGCAGACAGGCCCAGCTGCTCATTGGCTATCTGCCAGTCACCCGACTCTCGCACATCAAGAGCGACGAAACACGGCGTCGAGCGTCGAGCAACCTTTTCCATGCATGCTTACGCCAGGCCCTCGCCCCGACTCGGAAGGCCGGACGACACGGCACTGTGATGACGACTGGCCGTGGTCTCGCGAAGCGCTGCCACCCCGTCTTCGCCGCGTATGTCGGGGACTACCCAGAAATCGTACTCGTCACCGGCGTGAAGAATGGTGAATGCCCTGCGGGCGTGGTGGACCCTGAGTCGTTGGGCGAGCCGGTGCCTTGTACCGCAAGAGACGTCAACGCCATCTTGGACGCCCTAGACACTCTCGCGCGCACGGGATCAGCAGTCGCCCACGTCAATGCTTGCAAGGCCGCGGGCATCAAACCACTCACCGACGCCTTTTGGAAAGATCTCCCCTATGTCAACATCTACGCCTCTTTGCCTCCCGACATCCTACATCAGCTCTACCAAGGGATGGTCAAACACGTCGTTGCATGGACCAAGGCTGCATATGGTGCTCGAGTCATCGACGAACGGTTCCAGGCCCTCCCTCCTAATCACAACCTCCGCCATTTTCGAAGGCATCTCCCACTTGTCGCGCGTCTCTGGCACGGAACACGAAGACATTGTCGTGTTCTCCTCGGGACCATAGTTGACCTCCGCCTGCCCGGCGGTCACAACCCCACCCGCCTCATCCGCGCTGTGCGCGCTCTCCTGGATTTCGTGTATCTCGCCCAACTGCCTGCGCACACCTCCACGACCCTTGCGCAGCTCGACGACGCCCTCGCTCGATTTCATGCAAACAAAGCGGTATTTGAGCAACTCGGCATCCGCAATCACTTCAATTTCCCGAAGCTGCATTCCCTTCAGCACTACACGTCGGGATTAAGCTCTTCGGTACTGCCGATGGTACGAACACCTCGGCGTCTGAACATCTCCACATCTCACTCGCAAAGGATCCGTGGCGCAAGTCCAACCGCAAGGATGAGTATCCGCAGATGACCACCACCGTGGTTCGCCTCGAACAAATTCACGCACACATGCTTTACATCCAATGGCGTCTCGACGGCCGCCCGCACATCGCACCCGCGCCCTCCCACATTCCTCATAAGCCCCACCGCCACCTCACGCGTAATCCGACGTGCAAGTCCGTCGCCTTTTCGACCGTCGAGGCCCGCTACGGTGCTTTCAATTTTGAGCACCTCCTCAAGGAATCCATAGTGAGTCACAAGCATCCCGACTTGTCAGCTCGTGAGCTCGCGGAACACGTCTCAGTGTACGACCTCCCTTTCCGCGCCGTCTCGATGTGGCACAAGGTCAAATTCTGGAACCAGGATTTCTTCAGGCGCAGAAATGCACCTGAGACGCTCGATGTAATCCATGCCCGCCCGAACTACCGAGACACCCAAGGTCGACTCGTCCGGGAAGATTCGACACCGCGCTCGTAAACGAGAGAGATGGTGGGCACGTAGGGGTCGCAGGTACGCAATCCCTTACACAGTAAACATTTCCAGCAACTTACGAGCGAATAGGCTATCGTGTGGGCCAAGTTCGCGCCATATTCTCACTGACGAAGAAGGCTCACGACAATGTTTTCCATGGCGATCCCACCGCGCCGTCGCACTTTGTCTACCTCGAATGGTTCACCCGATTCAAGCCTCGTCCAGAGGCTAACCACCTCTTCTACAGTATCAAACGCCACAGAACACATGCAGGGGACCGCGTCGCAGCGATCGTCCCCTTGAAGGATCTCCAACGGAGCATTCATCTTGTACCGAAGTTCGGGCCTGTCAAGCCGCCCGAGTGGACGAGTGACAACGTTCTCGATCTGTGTGAGAACTTCTACGTCAACTCCTTCACCGATAGGAACACGTACATCACTGTAGTGTAGTTGAATACACTCGGTGCCCCGCGATGTCTATAAGCGCCGGACCTGGGTGCCTCAATAGCGAGTCGTTGCGTTCTTGTCATCTGGAATAAAAGGGTCAGACACAAACCACTTGAAAGCTTCCACAAAAAATTCATTAGACACAATCAAAGATCGAACTTCGGACTCATTCTTCAAGCTCCAGAGGCTCCCTGGCCCGAGCGCACTCGTCGGCGCTTACTTCGACATGCGGGCAGAACGCGCCTTGGTGTGGCTCTGCGTTCACCACCATCCCACCATCTGACCTCGCTGCTACACCCACAATTTCCCTCTTCGCTCGGCTTCGATCTGCCCAGATTCATGCTCATCTACCGCCCTCACGTCGCCACCTCACCAACGACTCGCATCCGCCCTCGGTGTCCCTACCCAAGACGTGCGCTGCCCGAGGACTTGTGCCGCACGAATCGCGATGCACTTCAAGCCGCGCGACATCATGCGAGTGAAAATCGCGGATAGGGGAGGGCGATACTGGAAGTCGCCATCAGAGAAGGGCGAGAGGGCATCGAGCTCAGCTCGCTCGCAGGACCTCGAGAGAAGGATTTTGGTGCGTGGTTTGGCTGTAGTCCTGCTAATCCATCCTGAGCATCCACTCAGACTACGGTTTGCATGGACGAGCCCCTCCTCAGCCCTCTCCACTGCCCCGTGCGTCCTCGACGACGATTACTTAGTCGATCGCCATCCCGGTGTCCTCGTCCCGGCGACCCAACCTCCTCTGGCCTGGTGCGAGACGCATGCTTCGGCTAGGCCGGGTGACCGCGTTCGCTGCTCGCCAAGGGAGGCTGTGTCCTGCCACGAGGACACTGGCATTGCTATCTCGGGCACCCACATAAGACTGTCCTTTGCGGCCGAGAAGACGACGCGGGAGGCCAAACCAGGCGCGGTAAGTAGGTACCACACTCGAGTTCTGAAAGTGCGCGGCCATCACCTAGTATGCTGGCCACGCCGTATACCCCCATCCTCCCACCTTGCCTACGTCGCCCGTTCGCAAGTGCACACGGATCATTGGCCCCTGCAGACTCGCGTTGATGTACGCGTTGGGGATCGGCCCGGGTGACGCATCCGCGGTCTGCAGGCCAGTCTCTTCGCACGTCGTGAGCGGGAGGCCCCAGTTTAATCATTCCCCATTGTTCCTTTTCATCCTCGTTGCCAGATACATAGCACTCATTCATCTTAACGATATAGCTCATACTCCGCTCAGCATCCTCACCTCGTGAGATCGACACAGCCGGGATGCCATTGTTGTCTACCCTTTCCATCCTGTCACCCTCGCCCTCGCCCACCTGTCCCCATCGTTGTCCTGCCGCCCGCTTGTGCTCTCGCCCCTCCACGTACGCATTGTGGCCCGGCCTCTGTGCTGCCGTGACTGCCTCTTTCACACCTCCGGGGCGACACCCGCCAGCTCGCAGGCGCGGAGACTGGCTTCACTCTGGCCCTCCGGGGTCGAGTGCTGACTCCCCGAGCCCTCGCTGCCACCGCCAGCCCCGGCTCTACGTCGTGGAGCCGCCCTCGTCAACATAACCGGTACCTTCAATATCCTACGCATCACCTCGCGCCGGCTCCCCCATCATCCTCACGTCCAAGCCGCGAGGCCAGGACACCCGACGCCACCTCGCTTGCGACCTCTAAATGTGGAGTCTTACGACTCCCCGCCGCGCTCCCTTTCAACCACGAGATTGTGGTCCCTCGCGCCCGGTTCAGGCTACGTGTCCCTCGGCTCTACGGCGCCCGCGAGATCTGTGTTATTCAGCCCGCCGATCCAGAGCTTGGGTGCCACACGCGAGAACCACTCTGGGCTGAACTCGCTCGGGTCCGGCGTGAAAAAGGTGTTCAAGTTCCACAGCCCCACGCGCGGCGGCGCGGGCTGCCAGTGCTACCAGCGCACGCGCACAGCGAACCCGGCGGGGTGGTCGATCGGCGGCGGGGGCGGTGCACCGAGGAGCAGCGTGCAGAACGCGGCGAGCACGCAGTAACCCATTGCGGCAATGTCGTCACGCGGCACGTCGTTGCAGCCTGTGCGGCTGGTGCCCCCGACGCCTCGTCTTGGCGATGTCCGCAAGGGCCGGTGCTCTCGAGCGCGGTCTGGGAGCCTGATGGGTCTTTGGCATTGGCGTTGGAAGAGGCGGGCTGACGCCGGCCTAGGCGGGGTGGCGGACGTGGACGCCCACGGCTCGCCGAGGTAGGAGTCGAGCAGGAATCCACATCGCTGGGGGCGGGTTGCTATTCAGACGCGGCCATTGGAGTCAGTCCCGGTGAACACGCGCCAGGCAGAAGATGCGAAGACGACGCGCCAGGATTGCCCAGCTCGGCCCGACGATTGCGGCGGCGACCACACGAGACCAATGCACTCACCACTGGGCAGCCGTAGTCTATGCGGATGATGAAGGGTTTGTTCCGTGCGCTCGCTCCCGCTTACGAGGCGGTGGAGAGTGCTGACTTCGAGGGTGAGCTCATTGGCCTCCTCTCTATCTTCGAAGGACGGTATTGACTCTTGCATCGTCGGCGCCCTCACCGACACCTCTCGCGCACGCTCTGGTCGACAGCCGCTCGACTGCAAGCTCTTCAACCCTGCCGACAAGCGCACGGAGATCACGTACCGTGAGGAGTCGATTGGCTGCCTCCAGCGCGTCATCAAGGGTATGACCAGCATCGTCATCGAGCTCTGCTCGCGCAACAAACCGAGGAGCACGAGAACAAGAGCGAGGCTGACGTGGAGAAGTTCGCCGCGCGTAGTCTGCGCGCGCTCGCTGTCCCCTACGAGGAGGTTGAGGGTGATTACATTGAGGGGACAGTAACGGTTGCGGGCTGATTGGTCTTCTCCCTATCTTCGACCCTCCCGTACCGGTACCAAGCAGACGATCAGCGACACCATCATGATGCTTCTCGGCGTCCAGCTCAAGATGGTCACCGGCGACGAGCTTCCCATTGCCAAGGATATCGGCCATCGTTTCAAGCTCAGGGACTACGTGTATCCAGCTAAGCTGCTCGAGGATGATCCCGAGGCCGGTGGCATGCATGCGTCACTCGACGAGATCATCCGACGGTAATGGTTTTGCTGTCAGTGGTAGCACCGCCCTTCACTTCACCGCGCATTCCATG